TACTTTTGGGAGCGTACTCCACACCGCAATAACAGCCATATTTAGTTTCATTTTTTCTTTTAGAAAACTCGAGCATGTTACTGGCGTCAATTTGTTTGGAACATCAAGGAATAACGTCATCTTTACAAGATGTACTGATTACTAATCAAGAAATGTGAAAAGTCAAAAAGATCTCGGTGAAGCCTCCTATTGCCCATAAAAATTAGCAAACAAAATTTTAAAAAGACACACAATCAAGACATAACATAAATGACGCACACAGCTTGACATGAACATATGTAGCTATTGGAATATTGGATATCTTTTGTTCCATTTACAGGCGAGCAAAACTTTAGTATCCTCAAGAGTGCTACAGTGACATTTATATTCTCCACACTTAAAATTTTACGGTAACTTTTTCAGTTCAACTAACCACTTAACGGATTTTCATGAACAATTCGGTTATAATCACATCCGATTATCATAAATCTTTCACTTCAAAACCGTACTCATTTTACCCCAGCTGATGAGTTCAGAGGCTAGAAGTACAGGAAGCGGGTGCTCCAAGTGTTCTCTATGGAACTCTTTCCTTACTTATGTCTTATCGCAAAAACAAAAAAAAAATTCAGTGGACTTCCATCCGCCCCAGATGTTCCACTATTAAGCCGAACATACAGGAACACTTTTACCTTTTCTCTCCACCCCCTACCTAATTCTTCGTGAATATTACTGCATCTACGTATATCGAAGATGTCCTCTGACTTTCTTGGCTTCATTGTACTTTGCAAATTTTTGAAAAATAAAACTCCGTCTGGTGAATGCTTCCAAGCATCTTGCTCTAAACCCTTCAACAATATTGTTATAAGGTCACTTTTAAAGGCGCATGCCGAAAAATATTTTTTTTTTCCACAAAAAGTCGCTAAAAATTTTACAGAACTGCCTGTTGTCTTGAACTCCAGCGATTTGTGTAGCAATACATTTCGATTTTTTACCGTTTCGTACATAATCAATTAATGAAAAATCGTTTTGTATCTCAATCAACATCTTTTCGATTATTATGCCGATTATTCTGCTTTAGAATTGAAAAGGACGTAAAGTCCTCTTTATGCATTTTTAGCATTTACGTTCATTTAAAAAGAAATCCTGCAGAATTACGAAAGTTCCATCCGCATGCGATATTCAAGAAAAGCTTCACAAATCCATCATATTGGTCAGAAGCCTTTTTATTTTACAGCTTAAGATCTCATCATACAATTGGCGTGCTTATGGGCACATATTTAGTTAGCAGAACCGCCGCTGTTGTCAATAGTTTCCTTTTAATATCTGTCCGAAATCTAAAGAGAGCAACACATTGCTCATGCGGTCGATTAGGACGAAGCAATGCAAAGAATATTTTTGATCATAACAAATCTGAACGTCTTTTCAAGAAATCTTACTAAAATTTCATACATACATACATAGCCTTTGCTTAAGTTAAGAATTGATTTACAGAGTAACCCTTATCCCCCTACAACCACTGTAGCTTTACTTGAAAAGTAAAAACATGTTTTCATCAGAGTTTTATGAAGTCATGAAGAAAACCAAATTTACAAAAAATTTCTCAGTTGATTTATTTATGAAGCTTTATTACTTCCCCCTCTCCTTGTATTTCATATAATTTTTAACTTTATTTCAATATTTATTTTCAAGAACATGCTATTAGTTGTGGTGTCGAGCTATTAGATGTGCAATGATGGGTATTTCGAATTCGTACTAGTGTGAATATTTAATTCTCTTCTTCACTCCTCTTTTTTTTTTTTTTTCTTTTTTTTTTTGATAGTTGAGTCATTCATAAAATTACAAAACTGAAATGTTTGCATTGTACTTATTTGAGAAAAGAAACAATTGCACAACAACAACGAGAAGAGGATAAAATAATTTATTTATGCAATTATTTTATTAAATTGTGTTGCATTGTAATGGAAAATAAAAAAAAAATATATCTCTCTCTGCATATTTTTCAAAACATTTAAATAATTTGAAAAAATATGAATAAATAGATCTCCAGTCTAACGAATATCAGATAATGCCTTGGAAAATTTTGTTTGGTTTATAAAAACAAAACAAAATTCAATAAGCAACAGTTTTTTGTAAAAAGCACAAAGCATTCTCTAAGGCATACAGGTGCACTTATGTATTTCGCGATTGTGTTTATAAACTTTAGAAACATTAGTTTAAAAAGTATTTTATAACCAGTAGTTTCATGGAGATGAACCGCTTTTTTCAAGAGAATAAGTAAACAATATTTTATTCAAAACTTTGTCCATTCTTGGCAAAATATGAACTCTTCGCTGCAAGGTAGACATACAAGATTTCCTGTGTATGTATTCCCTTTTGGGTACCGCGATTAGAACGAAAATTGTTACTTAGACAGTGGTTGGAATAGCTATTAATATGGAAGTTGAAAACCTAGCAAACACATAGGAGGCATCGCAGATTCAAACTTAAGGCTTCTCATGTTTCTAGGCAATAGGTCGTACAATAAACCATCGACTATTCAGCGCCTTACCTAATAACACATTTTGATCATCATGCCCTTAGTTCTTCTGGAGCCGTCCACTTTACGCATTTTCTGACTTAATGAGGGTATTTTCCTGAAATTTTCTTCGTAAAAACCGAAATCAGATAAATACAAAGCTGTTCGCGAAAAGTAAATTTTTTCACCTCAATGCTGCCCACGTTGTTATCATATAACCTACGCATCCTTAAATCTACGTAACCTTATCTGTATGACGCAAGAACGGATGACAAAAGTCAAAATTTCATGCAAATGTTGTTAAGTACAATTTACAATATCCCCTTACAATTGTTGAAAGGCTAAGTGATCCTCGGAAAAACTCTATTATTCGATTAATGGCGGTTAAGTCACTCAAAGCAAATTTCAATCGCACACCTTGCCATTTGGGACTTACTTGCAACCAAACTGCCCTGATAAACATTGTTGTTTATTATTATGAACTTTATGGAAAATTCTCTCTTGCTTTACTTTGTACTGTGGTCTTATCCTTCGGGTATATTTAATTTATTTCAGCAATTTAATATATTTTTAGATATTTAATATTTCTAAGAAAAGTTCAAAAGCATTATTCGATGGGCAAGCAAGTATTTGTCTTCTTTACATATAAATTCTTTAGAAGAATTTCTACCAACAAATTGCTTCTTTCAATGTCATGCTTAGGTTAGTACACTATAATTTTGTATGCAACAATTAGCTCGCGGTCAATTTTAAAGAATACAGGAGAATAATAGATCGTTTCCAACGTCCTTTATATTTGCTTTATGAAAGAAAGAATGAACTGTGTTATCAGCAAGCGACGCTTATTGCACTACATAATACTGTTGCCAGATATATTTTACAAAATTCTATTTCCAAGAATTTTCGCATAAGAGTGAAAAAGTTTTGACGACAGGCAACGGCACTATTAAACGTACCGCTTCCACAATCTTTAACAAGCAATCAAAAGTGTTTGAAACTCAATTCAAAACTGATGTCGCATATTCGCCAAACGTGACCTGTATACCATTCCGTGATACTTGATTTGTTTTTGCCGCAAAATGCGGTGATTGCAGTATTGTAAAGTGTTCAGAAAGACGCCCAAAATAGAAAAACAAAAAAAAAGAAAGATGAATGAATCTTCCCCAAAATGAAGTTAGTAATTTTTTCTCTAGCCGCGAGAAGTACACTACTCTACATGGCACCTCAAATATATGCCGAAAGTAAGGTGTATCAATTTATTTAGAACACGGAAAGGACGAGCATAATTCTTTCGGCAATTGATTTCTTCCCTATCCCTATCTTTCGTTCTTCATTTCTTTAATAAAAAACAGCAAAAAAAAAAAAAAAAGAAACATATATGCTACGTATGCGGGAAAGGCAAAACGAAAGTTTGTCAAAAATGTTTTTCCCTTGCAAGTTTTCCTGCAGAGATATTAATCTCTAAATTGCTCTTTACTTTGAGCAGCCAAATGCAAGTGATGTCAATCAATCGAAGGCTTTGATCGAGTTACAAAAACATTTATATCGCACATAACGGGGGCCGAACGAAATCCCACTATGAATCTATTTCGACATTGTGTCTATTGGTAAAATTTACTTCATTTATGGATACAGTTTTGCAATAAAACTGACAAACTATTAAAACTTATTGGAAAGTTCAAATTACTTTCGTACCACTATGTTTTAAAGTATTTTAGAAAATCTTTAAAATCTACAAGAATTTCATAAGTAAGACATTGTTGTCAAATGCATTTTCAAGATTTTTAAATAACTTAGATATGTATAAGAATTCCTAGAAGAGAGAGAGAAATATTCGAAAGAATTTTTGAAGGGCATTTTCTAAAGATAAAAAAAAGGTTTGGCTCTTCATGTAATTGCTTAGAAATAAATGCAAGATTTTTCAAAATCAATCATGAAGCATCAAGCACCTTAATAAATACTATTAAATAATATATTTATTATCTCCTAAGCACGCACGTATATAAATGTGAACATGTTTAGCAATATATCAAGCGTAAATCGTACAAACTATTCTTGTTACGAAAAGGTATTATAGTAAAAGCGCTTTTCACACACAACAAAAGACTCTTTCTCTGTCTCTCTCTCTCTCTCTCTCTCTCTCGCTCTTTCTCTTTCCCTCTATCACTCCTACCCGTTTCGCAAACAAATAATTGAAAGTAATTTGTTAGAAATTACATTAAATTGGAAGCACGTTATTTTTTCCTCGACTTTCTGTTCCGTTCTGCGTTGTGTTCGTTTCGGTTTAAAACCAACAATAAATATATTCCGATTGTTAATAAAATAAAAAGTAAATATATATTATATTCTATTGTGGATGTTTGGTGCATGTGCAAGTACCAGCATTTGACATTAAATTAAATGGCCGACTGTAACAACTTGAAAATCAAAACTATTAAATTTTATTCAGTATTTGAAAGTATATGGAAATTACGCAAACGCTCGCGTATATGAATGCTCTACATACCGTTCAGTTGATGGTCTACCGGCAAGCCATATGGCAAACAATGATATCAAAAAACTGGCCAAATCGGTTAACAAGTGAGCAGCATCGGTAGCAATTGCCAAACTGTTGGATAGAATACCACCTGCAAATACAAACAAACATAAAAGTGTAAAAACGATAAAAAGCATATATAAGCGCTTGAATTAAAAAAAAAAAAAAAAGAAAAAAAGAATCTATTATTAGTTCTAACAACATAAAGGTGGAGTTTTACAGTAAGAATGGGAAAAGCAAAATATCAAGAAAACGTAGAAGTCAATAATTCTCCTTTTACTGGTCTATGAACGCTTACTCTGTAAAGCAAAAACAATATATACCGTATATATTATACATATACATATATATATACACGTATATATATAAATATTTCCTATAAATCGATTTTAATAACATAACTTTAGTTAGTGCCAGTGTAACATATGAGTCGTTAACCTTATTCCCAGTTAAGTTTTCATTTCATTTGTTTTCCGTATATACGTGTGGCACAAAGTCATATTTCCTGTTTCCTGTCTGTGTCGATTTCCGTTATATCAACGAACCAACCACATCATTTTTGTTAGAATTCCTGGCTATGTGTGATTTTATGCTATTGTTTTCTTTTTGATTTTTTCATAATTTTCATCTCTTTTTTTTTTTTCTTTATTATTCCTTCTTTGTAAAATCTAAAAATATTTTAATCGTATATATGTATGCACAAATATATGTATATTTATATGTGAACTTACCTACAATCATACATAGCATGAAAAATAAGCATAAAATACTAGCAGTTATTAGCTTACGGCGTGCTCTCTTATCAACACCTTCAACACGTGAGCCATAGCAATAATCACGCACTGAAAGTAAATCAAAATTGAAAATTTTTTTGCATAATAGAATATAAGTCACGCGGCAACATATATAATATAAATATAATAAATAAAATTATTTTATTGCCTACATTGAGGATTAGTGCCTACAAAATTGTTTATTGCTTGCTTTTTGGAGTCATATAAAACAGACTTATTAAATATAAAATTTAAATTAAGAGCTACTATAAGTCGGTTTTAGCCTTACCTCATTTTTTTCGGCTATATACTATTCTCAGTTTTTATAGAAATATTCACTAAAGTATTTGCTTTGGAAGTGAAATTCACTTTATAAAAATAAAATATTAAACAAACAGTCAAAAATTTACGGTTGTTGATGAAAGTTGTTTAATTTTAATAGAAACATATAAAAAAATAAATAGTAAAAGAAAAAAATTATTCCAGTTGAATATTTTCAACTATCATTTAATCATTCGAAAATGATGTGAATATAAAAACACATATACATATATATATATATATATAGAATGTATGTGTACATAAATATATACATATATATATATATATATACTATGTATATAACACATAGATACATATTGCGTCGAAAGAAAAGTTCATGGAGTCTTTTGCCCATAGATGGCTTTAGGGTCGCGTAACTTTTGATAATAGCAACCTTATCGAGCCATCGAGCTTATGTACAATAAAATATAAAGGAGGAAAGAAAGAGAATGTGTATATGTGTGTGTGGGTGCACGTGAATTCGAGTGTGTTGATTTACAACGAAGGTATCAAATATCATGCCTATAACTGTGTATCTAGTGTTATATCTATGTTTTATAGATATACGTTGCAGTTGATATGTACACATTATAGACATCAATTAACGTTATAAGCCTTATAAAGGTTTATAAGCCTATCTCTCAACCGGTATACTAAGATGAGTTCGTTCAATCTGCATCAAAAAAAAGTATTTTATTTTTGCAATTTAAAATTCATGTTTTATAAAGGCGCGACACTGGCTTTAGTTTTTAAGCCCTAAAAAAACATTAAGGACATTACATACAAGAGCACGCAAAGAGAAAAGGGCAACAAAAATTGCGAATAACGAGAGTTGTTGTTGGTATTCCTTGTAACAGGCCATGTTATCTTTCCCGTTTGTTTGTATACAAACGTGTACATACACACACACACACACTTATACACACAAATAAGCATACAGCAGTTTACAACAGCAGTTTCATACAAATGACAATTGTCGTTACCACTTCCTAGTGCGTATAATATAATGCTCCTATTGGAAGCCCCATGTGGCTGAGCTTCAACAACAAGTACTTTTAATGGCCTACAACCGCGTCCGCAATTGGTTTGTTTACTTGTTTTTTCTGTGTTGCCGTATTTCGCCTGCTTTTTTAACCCATTCTTCTTTTCTGTGTCTACGTATTTTGTATGTTTATATTAATATTGTTGTTTGCTTTTTCTTTTTTTTTTTTTGGTTTGGATGACGGGAAAAAAAGGGTCGTCTCTGTGAAGTGCCGTAACACCAAAGTAGTAGCAATACTCGCTGCACCCGGTACATATTGTGTATTTGTATTGTTAAGCTTTTTTACAACGCTTTACAATCGTTGTTTTGCTTGTTTGCGGACTTTGGTGCAAAATATAAATTGAAATTAAAACAACAAAAAAAGAATTATATATATATATATATATACATTAAATGACAACAAAAAATTTGTTAAGTGTAGTAGAGCAATGCTCGGTTGTAGTGCAGCTACAAAAACAATAACAAATTATTGTTGCAACAATTGGCTACAACTGTTGTAAATTTATTACAGTCAACCTTCATAGTATCATGCAAATAAGAACTTTTATATAGTGGTGTGCGTGAATGTATATTTGGTATCTTACCCTTTGTTGGTGCGTTTGTGTTTATGCGTTCACAGTGCATCTTTTAGTCTATTAATAACATTTAATTGGTTTTCAACGGCTATAGTTTTTTGCTTTCATCGTCATCCTCGTCATCGTCATCAGAGAAATCCAAATTTTCCATATATATATATATATATATTTATTATTTATTTTAATAAGTGAACTTTCGATATAACAAACATTAACAAAATTGCAAAAGAAAAAAAAGAAGGAAATAAATATGCAAAGTACAATTTTTTTACCCAAATCTCCAAAAAATTTCATATTCGATCAACTTTTCCCGTTACAAGTCATAACGCGATATAAAAACACTCTTCAATTAAAAATTAATTCATATCGGAAGTTTCCTTCTAAATCAAGAAAAATATTCATTGAAAATAAAACACAAAAAAAAAAAAAACGATATTACCCTACTTTCCATCCATATATACCTATCTATCTATACCGAGTAATTAAAAACAAGTCACTTAGTAAGTGAAAATAGTATAAAACTGAATAAATATATTTTGCTCCGACTTCAACTAAGTACTTATTACAATGTTATTACTTAGTGTACATTTATTCTGCAGCATTTTTTCGCTTGCACTTAGTTGATAATATTAGGTTTGGGAAAAAGAAATCCATTATTTTTATATGAGCTTCAGGACTTTATTTAACATGCTTCGGATTGTCCGATTTGGGTCAAATATGCACCGTTTTGTTGTATGATTTGTTGCCATTTTAAAGGTAACTTCAAAATGCCTCTCTCATAGAAGTCCTGGTCTCTATTTGCAAAAAACTCTAGTAGTCGATTTTCACAATCCTCCCTAGATTCCAATTTTTTATCATTAAAGAAATTTTGCAATGCAAGAAAAAGATGATAATCGCTTGGTGCCAAGTCCGGACTGTATGGCTGCATGGATGCATTAAAACTTCCCAACCAAGCTCCCGAAGTTTCTGGCGAGTCACTGTAGATGTGTGTGGCCTAACGTTGTCCTGGTGGAACACGACACCTCTCTGGTTGGCCAATTCTGGCCGTTTCTGGTCAATCGCTATCTTCAAACGGTCCAGTTGTTGACAGTACAGATCAGAATTTAGCGTTTGGCCATATGGAAGCAACTCATAATAAATAATCCCCTTCCAGTCCCACCAAATGCATAGCAAAACCTTCCTGGCCGTTTGAGGTGCTTCACCGCTCTTTGACCACGATCGTTTTCGCACAGGGTTATCGTATGTGATCCATTTTTCATCTCCAGTCACCATCCGTTTAAGAAATGGGTCTATCTCATTCCGTTTGGCCAAGGCTTCGCAGATGGAAATTCGATCCATCATGTTTTTTTCTGTTAATTGGTGTGGCACCCAAACATCGAGCTTCTTTTTGAATCCAGCTTTGTGTAAATGGTTTAAAACTGTTTTATGGTCGATTTTTAGCTCCTGGGCGATGTTACGACTGCTAACATGCCGGTCAACTTCGATCATTTCTCCGATTTTATCCACATCCATTTCGACGACCGGCCTACCTGTGCGAGGTGCATCTTTAACATCAAAAATTCCTGAACGGAATCTACGAAACCGAAATTGCACATAATTGACTGTTACAGTATCGTAACCGCCTGGCTTGCATTTTCGCCTTTGTCAAAGAAAAACTGTAAAATGTACCGAATTTTCTCTTTGTTCACTTCCATTTTTAACACGCTGTGTAACTCACAACTGAATGCACCAAACAAAAAACAGCACAAGAATTTTTTTTACTGCGAAATGTCACCTTTCCAACGAGCATAAATCTGAAATTGTTCGATCGATACTTTACGAGAAATCTATCAGTGCAGCCATTTACCGAAAAAATGATGGATTTCTTTTTCCCCAAACTAATACTACCTTGCCAGTACGAAAAACCAATCAAAATATTGATGCACACTTTTTAAGTACATTAGCACATTTTTTGTCGAAGTTCATATAAAATTTTAACTCTTGCAAGCAGAACCATATTAGTCATGCAGGTCGCACTTGTGCTTACAGAACAAAAGTAGAGGTTTTTGATAATGTTAGCTAAAAAAGAATAGCGTCGATTTTGTTTTTTCCGAGAGTCGACTATAATATCAGTTGAAGCTAAGCGATCAAAAAAATAATGTTTTACTAAAGAATGTTAAAGAAGAATGAAAACTGGTTAAAGTCAAGGCTTTCAGAATTGCCAGGCCTAGATATGAATTCACCCGACTTTTGGAGCCACGCAGAACACTTTTGGAACCTCCCGAGCACTATGGATATCATTCTTAGACATCATTTAAGTCAATAAAAATATGTACATAACAACTTTAACTTCTAAAATGTCTCGAAAATGAACATTTCTTAAGGCTTTAAAAGTACGTAACTAGAGCAGCATCAACTTTTTGATTTAAAACTTTTTTTTTTTTAATTTAGGCTCAAATGGAAATAAGAAAATTACGTACTTCACTTGATACAATGGATACTTTGATGGGGCTAATAGTGTGTGAAGGCAATTAAGGTTGTGAGGGTTTTAGCATATCGAACTTTATGCAGAGTATCCGATTGCGGTGAAGAGCTTGTATTCTTCTTACTGAACATCCCTTTCATCAACTAGTCTGGCGAATAGAGGAGGTGGTAAAACTGGTGGCCGCTAAATACCTTACCTTTGCTGTAAAAGCTTGCCCACACTTTAGGCCTTGGGTTCACTAATAAGTACCGTAAGCCTAAAAATAATGTAAATAATTATTTACATTAAAACCACATAATTGAAGAGTGTACTTTGTACTTTTCCAGGGCTTTTGATCGATTCTCTTCTCTATAATTTCGTCATTGAAGCCTGAAATCTTAAGTAGTGTTTGCTTAATTCGTCTGAATGTAAATTTCATAGTCAGTAATAAATAAAAAAAAAAAAAAAAAATGACTACGATTAGCTTTTCCCCGAAAAGGCGAAACAAAAATTGTCAAATATTTCAAAAACATTTACAAAGTCTTTCTTCATCGTTTACCATTAAAATCACATTTAAAATTTATATCGAATAATATCTGTTCCGACTTGCACACTGCGCTCGAAATTGTTAACAATTTCCTGTTTGTTGCTTAATTGCATGAAAAAAAAATAAAAAAAAAAGAATAAA